GACCAGTCCAAGGAGGAATGAGGCCTGGCAGTCAGTGTGAGTTGCTCCATTTTTTAACTATTTTTCATCCTGCTGTATCATTCTCACTTCGTCTACTTCCGTGCCCACGTTAGCAGAAAGAAGCATTGACTTCATCAAGCAGAATTACTTATCCTGTATTCTCATTATTAATTTTCACTAAAACATGTATATGGGACTATACAGTGATGACTTTATCCTAAGTTTAATTTCACTGATTTTGGGTTATTATTTTAGCTGTCTAAGTCTACCTCCCTGTGTTGAGGTTGGGAATCGTCATTCAGGTGCTTTTACTTCAGCCTTGCTTTAGCCGCCAACCTGTATATATTATTCTTCATCTTTTTTCCTATAGGATTATTTGTATTATTCTTATTCTTTTGTAGGAACTCTTTATTTAGTACACAAATTTTTATTGATTACTGATGTTCTAAGTATTTTTTTGCTCTTTTTGTTAGCTGAGTTTTCACTTTCTTTTTGGTTTCTTTTGATGACTGGAAGTTCATTATTCAAATATTAATTTAGTCAAATTAATTAATTCTTTTCCTGGTTTTTAAAAAAGATTTTATTTATTTATTTGAGAGAGAGAGAGAGAGAACACAAGCAGGGGAGGGGGCAGAGAGAGAAGCAGACCTCCCACCTTGAGGTTTCGCTCCATCCCAGGACCCTAGGATCATGACCTGAACCAAAGGCAGATGTTTAAGTGACAGAGTCATCTAGGTGCCCCCTGTGGTTTTTGTTTTTTGCATCTTAAAAAAGGTATTCTTTTTCACGCTGGTATCCTAAATATGTTTTCCTATAATTTGTTCAAAGAGTTTTAGAACTGTGCTTTTCTGCAGTTAAGTCTTCAATCCACCTGGAGTTGGTTTGTGCAGGATGTAAGGTAGGGATCCAATTTGTACAACATCAGGACTCTTACTGAAAATACTTTTTTATCTATTGCAATACTATCTCTGTCTTATATCAACTTACTATATATGAATAGATTTGTTTGGGTGTTTTATCCTGTTTTAGTAATCTTTTTACCCATTCCTGTACTAATTATACACTGTCTTCATTTTCTTTTCCTGAAGTAGACTTTTTAAGTTAATTTTTCAGTAAGTGTCTATGAATGATAAATTCAGTCTTGACCTAAAATATCTTTATTTTGTCCACTTTGCTGAATTTTCAGTCTCAAGTATGGAATTTTAATTTGATGGGTAGTTTACATTTTGTGAGATTTCCAAAATATTTAGCTTATCATACTACTGAATGAATATGTTTTCTATATAATTTTTTCCTTTATCTTTTTTTACTTCTGGGGCTCTCTCTTCATGATCCCTTGTGAGAAGGCAAAGCAATCTGAATAAATTCGGAGTCCCCACCTTCTCTTGTTACCGTATATTTCTTTCTTTTAAATTTGTGGCTTTCCTTTCCTGCCTGAAAATTAGATTCCTGTGGTAAAGATCTAGATCTTAACCTCACTCTCTCTGTGAATATAGGTGAGTGGTGTGAGGTGGTAACAAATAGAACATTTCAGCTGGGAAGGAAAAATTATTTGCATAAGGAAACAAATGCAATGAGCCAGAAACTGGTGCCAGCTGTACCAGTATGAGAAATAGTCACAAAACGTAACATGACTCACAGAGATAAACAGAAGCTGACAAGGCATTTTGTAGACCAATCAGTCTTTCATCCACGCTCAGGAGTTACGGGTTTGAAATACAGAGATCTTAGAGCACTTAATAAATTTTCTCCAAACACAAGTAATTAATGCCCATAAAGAACTGAAATAAATCCATTCTTTATGTAAAAACTGAGAAACTTGCCAATATCCATTGCAAAATAAAGAATACTGGGTGGCTGAGGTCAGTGACTGCCAGTCTCTCTCTGAGGACGAAATATCCCAACCTTTTCAGCATATGAAATGTTGTCAAGACATCACTGCTGTTGAGGTTAAGAACACACCTCCTATTAGATGTATTGACAAACGGAAGTAACAAAGGAGGATCCCTTAGTTTTCTTTTGCTGATGTTTAGTTTTCCCTATAGCAATAGAAAATTCTGAAGGATAGATGAATGAGCTCTAATGGCACATTTCATTTGGATTTATTTTCTTTTCAACTTAGAAATGCATCCAGTACAAATAATGTCCTGGGTAGGTGGTGAAATTTCATGGTAGGTAAGAAGCAGTGTCACACTGAAAGTAACCCAAGAAGAGCCATATGGGCAAAGTATGTTCAAGACCTATAACTTTCTTCCAAAGATCATACTGATAATCCCTCGCACTTATTGAAAATATACTCTGTGCCAGGCACTGTGGTGTTTTAAACGAAGTATATTTAGTCCTCATAATGATTATATGAGATATACACTATTATCATTATCCTCCTATTACAAAAGAGGGAAGTGAGACTAAGAATTCATCAAGGTTGTCCAAGTGGTAGAAATGAGCTTCTAACTTAGTCAAATCTTTTTTTCCCCAACACCATGAAATGCTCACTCGGTTTCCCTGTTCCATTTGGTATCATCTGCTTTATCTCCATCTTCATGAGAACTGAGTATAAACGAGGTAGGATGGCATTTGTGTTAGATGAGACTTCATGTCTCATCAACCCAACTGAAGCTGGCATTAACAACAATAGATTGAGATAAAGTATCAGCTTCCAAATGAAAACAGGACTTGGGACAACACTGAATTGATTGGCTCAGGATGGGATGTTGTTCTCTTTCATGAACCACACGCTGCAGCAAGGGGAAAATGGATAACTTGGATCGCAGTTAGGGCAATTCCTGAAGCCAGGGTTGGGGAAAATTTCATCAAAATTGAATGGCTGTTCCTTGAGATGGATGGAGGGAAAAAGGGAAAGTAGAAGCTTAGGAAAATGGAGGAAAATAAGTCAGAGTCAAACACATGGAATCCTTATTCCCTTGTAAGATTAACATGTAAATTAAACATAAGGAAAGATCATAGTTGGATTCCACATCTTAGAAAACATCCACTGATGATGTGTGAACTAGCTACCTATTGCTGTATTGAAACAAATTATTCCAAAATTAGGGGTTTAAAAGAAGAGACATTTATTTCTGTAGGTCAGCAACTGGGCATAGCTTAGCTGGCTCAGGGATTTTTACCAAGTTGGCTGGGGGAAGGTCTTCTAAGCTCACTCAGGATTGTTGGTAGACTCTAGTTCCTCCTCTTACACTTCAGCCCTGTTACACTGAGACAGTTTCCTTGCCCTAGGGGCCTCTCCATAGGGCTGCTCCCAACAGGCACTGGCTTCCTTCAGAGCAAGCAAGCAACAGAGCAAAAGAAAATGTCCAAGACAGCCTTTTTATATCCTAATCTTGGAAGTGACATCCTGTCATGTCTGCCATATTGTATTCTTTAGAAGTGAGTCAGTAAGTCTATCCCACTTTGAAGAAAAAGGATAACACAAAGGTGTGAATATCAAGCAGGACAAGGGGCCATCTTAGAGGCTGCCTATCCTGTGTGCATTGGATTATGTGTGTGTGTGTGTGTGTGTGTGTGTGTGTGTGTGTATCTACTACCTTTGGAGTTGGTGGGTGGTCTGGGGTCACACATGATATGGGTCCAATAGACTATTGAGTTCTTTTTTTTTTTTTTTAAAGATTTTATTTATTTATTTGATAGAGAGATCACAAGCAGGCAGAAAGGCAGGCAGAGAGAGAGGAGGAAGCAGGCTCCCTGCTGAGCAGAGAGCCCGATGCGGGGCTCGATCCCAGGACTCCGAGATCATGACCTGAGCCGAAGGCAGCGAGCAGCCCAACCCACTGAGCCACCCAGGCGCCCGACTATTGAGTTCTTATGGGCTTTCCTGTTAGGGACATTATGGGGATAAAATGGTAGTAATGTTTCCTATAGGAAACAGATGGCATTTGCACGTTGAGAGTTTGAGTGGGTTTGATAAAGGGACTATTTACAAAGGTGTAGGTAAGTACAGCAAAATTGCAAGGAATAGTGCATTACTCCAGGGCTTGTGGCAGCCTGACACATCACTACCCCAAGGATTGAAGCCGTAAAGGAGGGAGCAGTTAGCAGAAGTAGGACAAGATGTCTGTATGAGAAGATGCCAGATTGGAGCTGTGACTTTCCACTAAAGGAAGCAGTCAGCCTGTGGCATCTCCACAGGGAAAGTGCCCATGGAATAAATATATCAGCTTAGTCTCCTCCAGTCTCTTGCTGTCACTACCTATTGGCTGAACCCAACTAGAACTGAGAAGGCAAAGAATCCTCTGCCGTTGTCAATACAGGTCAGCCTCTGAGGTACACAGTGTGTGGGAAGAGTGGAGAATGGACCCAGAGGGATGATCAGAAGTACAGAAACCAACTGAGTACTTACGAGGAAAATCATCCCCATGATACAGAGAGAAGAAGAAACAGGCGTACATGATGAGGCGCTGTTTAGAGCAAACTAGATGGAGTGTTTGGTTTGTTGGCAGAGATGGGTATTTAACATCAAAACAGGCTTTCATGTAGTTGTGTCCCTTGAAAAATCCTTAAAAATAGGAAATGCATATCCACTTCTATGAAAAGATTTGGGTGAGATTGCCCTGATGGGAGGAGCCTGGTTGGCTAGGATGACTTTGAAGGGTCCTTGTAACTTGAGGATTCTGTGTTCCAGGACAAGTGATGGAAATCAGGAACAGAATCTCCTGCAAAATATTTCCTATGCTTTGAAATGGAAATTAGGCTGTTCCAATTTAGGAATCAAATTAAAGCAAATAGTCAGGGTGTTAGCGGGTTGCGCTCCTCCCAGTTTGAAGTGGCAAGTAAAGAGGGAAGGTTGTTTTTTTCTGGATGAAGCAGGATCTCACTGCTGGCTTGAAGCGGTGTCGCCCAAGTCATTAGATGGGGGATGTGCCAGGAGCTTGACCTTCCAAGTCTGCTGCCCCTCCCCCACGCCCCCATGACAGCCTCTCCTGATATGGATGGACAGGGGCTGGTTTAAAATGACAGTCTCAAGTTTGTGTCGGAAGAGAAGGCTAATTCAAAGAAACAGCTGGGCAAGTTCCCTTTCTCTGTAGGAATAATTATCAGCCCCCTCTCCATGGCCCACCTGGGAGCTCATTTTGCCTTTAGATCCCGCTGACAGAAGACCGATGATGAACTCCGTCGACATAGCATGTCCTTTATCCTCCACAAAGCCATTCGCAATGACTTCTTTCAGAGCTATCTCTACCTGCTGGAAAAAATTCCCCTGGGTAAGTGAGTCAGAGCTACTAGATAAGGGACAAGAAAGGAGGACTTTGTGAGGTCCTGAGACCTCAGCAAGAGAAGTTAGAACAAGGACACTTTTCATGTAAAAAGAACCTACAGCCGATGTCAGGGGGCTTAAACGTTTCCACGTCATTCTTTCTTGCCAGGTGCAAAGATCAGGTGCTGTCTGGAAGGCTGGGTCTCTGCTTTGCGATGCCCACGCCCTGTCAAGAACTGTGATTTTCTTCCCTGAGTGTTGGTTTGCCCGACTACCAGGCGTACAGAAATCCATTTCCTGAGTTTTGAAGGACTTTTAAAATATTTGCCACAATTGAGAGGGGGGCAAATTAGGTAACTCAAAGATGAGAGTATTAACATAGTAATATGTCAGCTAAGAGATAAAAAGAAAGACTAAACGGTAATAGATCGAGGTGTCCTTGTTTTGTGTGTGTGTGTGTGTGTGTGTGTGTGTGTGTGTGTGTACATGAGCCCACACTCTGCATGATCCTTTCTGGCTTTCCTGAGTCACAGTAATAGAGAACCGAAAAGGAGCAGGTTTTAGTCTGGTCTTTGAATATTAACAAAAAACCTGGGGCAGTGGTCTGTCTCCCTTTTCCCTATTTCCTCCAGTTTTCAGGGAATTAGACAATAGGGCAATAAAAAGCTTAACGGGTTTGCTCCACTATTTCTCTTAGCCTCTGTGAATGGGGTTATTTCAAGGAACCCTTAACAGCGCCGAAGAGGAAATAACTTGCGATTAAAGAGTGAAGTGTCCCCCCTTTGATTTATATTTTCTCCCAATGAAAGCAGGACCAGTAAGTATCAGCACCAGTCTGTTTTCTTAAGGCTGTCTGAAAGCCCCTTTGTGCACTTGATGTGGCCAGGGTTTCCAGACACGGTAGGAGCTACGTAATTCTTTGTACTGCGTTCAAGAAACTAGTTGTTAGCAGCCTACCAAGTTTTCTTTTTATAAATCCATTTATGAAGGGATCTTTAATTCTAGACCTACAAATGCTTTCATCTTATACAATGCTTCTTAAGAATTTCCTTATTTATGATTCTGTTAGTTCCTCGCAGCTACACCATGGGATGGATAGGATAATAAGATTACTTTTCTCCTCCCACCTTCACACCCTTGTTCCCCATCTTAATTTTTCAAATGGGGAATAGAAAATTCAGAGATGATGAAATCTAACCTAGACAGATCTCATTCAGATAGCAAAGCAAGAAACTAAGACAAGGGCTCTTTCCCGTAGGTCACACAGCCCATGAGTAATCCTTTAAGGATGTGTCATGCATCTCATTTGTATCCAAATGGAAAAACTAGAGCAGTCCCTTTGGAAGGGGAGGCTGTCCTGGTTGTTCCACACACCGGCAAAGCACTGCTTTTCCAGAGACACTCTTGAAAGCCTTGTGTGTGCCACATCTCAGTAACATCTTAGTGGCTGAGCTGCCGTAGACTGGGAAAAGCTATCACTTAAAATTACTAAGATACTCACCAAGGGACAGACGGCAGCCAAATGTTAATTATGAGAGAGATTTCCCCTCTGAAAGTAGCTGAAGATGAGTTAAGATGGAAGAATAAAACAGTATCTTCTGAAAATCAGTTGAAAATTAATTCGGGAAAAGGAGAGTATAATTTATGTTTCGTCTCAATCCCTGTTTTAATCAGTAGAGTCATTCTGATTATACCGATTTTTCTCCTCTGTGAGTGTGCTGGTGGTTTATGAATGATTTTCAATCTTTACCAAAAATATTAGTAAGAACAAAGTTTTGACAGCGTCTCCTATAGAAGCCCAGTGTGAAATAGGAAAAAGTGAACATTTTCTGCTTTAGGGTTGGGGACAGGATGTGTGCCCTGCTTTGTCCTCTTAGCCTCACAAATGGCTCCTGAGGCACTTTGATATCTCCCATCAGTTCCCATTAACACTCTTTGAAAACCTTAGTCCATTTCTAAGCCAAAGACAAATCCATCTCACTTAGTCAGTTTTGCATAAACAGGTACTGCTTATTTTCTCTGACTGGGATGATTCAGCCCAGACATTCGTTTCCCTTGAGAGTAACCGAGGTGGCCCCATCCATGGTGTCTCTTTGATTTTAGCAGTTGGGAGTTATTTTAGTCTGTATGCACTACGCTATCCTGCAGTACCAAACTAACCCTAAAATCTCAATGGCCAAACATAAAAGTTTACGTTTTTGCTGTATCATTTCAACATGCATTATGGGGGTGGAGGCTGTGCTCCACATAGACACTCAGGATGACAAAGGCTCCACCACTGAGAACACTGCTAGTCACTATGGTAAGGGAAGCTAAGAGCTGAAGTTTTCCCTAATAGCCCATAAATATTGTGTCCCAGAAGGACATACATTACATCTCCTTAGAGACCATCGCCCAGAACCAGTTGTGTGGCCCTGTCGAACTGCAGGGCTGCTGAGCAACATGACATACTGTATGTATGTGTGGTCTCTGGTAAACGCTTCTGCCAGGGAGAAACACTGATTTCTAGAGATAGAAACACCAGACACTTCTACTTTCTGATGAGTTCAATTTAGTGTGAGAGACTTTTATGGAACTCTGTCATTGTGCAAAGAGCTCTTCAATGTCCTGGAGAAGATTCAAACAATTAGACACGGTATCTGTTCTTCAGAATTTTATAAACTGGTAATGAAGGCAAATCAACAAATAATTTTTTATTAATCCTTAAAAAGTTTAAATTAAGGTTACAGGAAAGGCAAGCTGTCAGCCCTATGAATACTCGGCTTTTTTTTGCAGTGTTTTCTTCTCATGACAGATGGGGAGCACCTCCAGGAGACTCTAAGTTAATTTCAAGGGGCAGAAAGGAACCAGCACGTGTGTCTCGCCTGCTAGTATGAATTTCATCCAATCACAAGTCTTCCCCAGACCTGTGATTATCTTACTTAACCCTTGGTTTTCTCCCCTAGGTGATTATAACGTCTATTTATGGAACGCATGTACCTACCTATATTAGTTCTCTGATGGGACTCTAGTTCCCATGACTCATTTATCTTATCCTCTTCCATATCTACAGAATTTTGCATTTACCGTGGTTCCTGGCACAGAGAAAGAATTTCATATCTGTTCACAGCAGATCAAGTGGCCTCCTAGTAATAATTAATTTCAGGTCACTAAAGTCTTGAGTTCAAGTTCTGACACTGTTCCTGATAGAGAAAGTCACCTCTGGAAGTTGCTAAAGTCTTTGAGTATCATTTTCCTCAGGGCAGTTAGAAGCATTAAAAACAATTGCTCATAGTAAATAGCCAATACTCAGTAAGGATTAGTTTTCCTTTTCTTCCTCGGAGCCAATGCTCCGAGGTGGTCTTCCAATGCTACCAGATGGTCTTCCCTAGCACAGGCATTACCAAAGATGATAAGCTCAGCGCACTTGTGTGGGACTTTTCAGGCAGCAAGGGATAGTGAGCTTTTTGGTTTGAAATGAAAACTTAGCCAGTAGATACGCTCTCTCCTCAGCTCCGCTCAAATGTCTTGGAATTGGCTTCCCCTCCTTCCGTGGTTTCAAAACTTCATAGAAATGAAAGTAAAGCCCTTCTTTTAAAAGGTTAGGGAAAGGCTACTGTAGGGCCTGCACAGAGAGTTTGTTGTTTGGGATAACTATGGGAAGGACGGTGGCTAACCAGACTCTCTGATTCCTTCTTTCCTGCCTTCCTCCTTCCAGCTGCCTGCATTAGGTGGCCGGTCCCACAAGCACACTGTGCAGGGACATTCAGTCATGGGGACGTTTGCTGGAATATCCTTGGCCAGATTCAGAAATTTGTGGAGAAGCAAGAGCATGCGCAACGCAAATTCCCTGTGATGGCTTGGCCGTGGCACCGAACACATCACTGTGCGGGAAGAAACAGGAGTAAGCCGGCTGCGGCTCTCAGTGCTCTGCGCGTTCCCAAGTCAGTGACTCCTGACGGCACGCCCGTTAGGTGGTACCATTCTTTTCCGCACCTTATGTCTGCGGGGCCCATGTGCCGTGGAGTTAAGCGACCTACTGGAGGTCACGTGGCTGTGCGTGGGGAAGCAGGGTTAGAACCGGGGCAGTCTGACTCCAGAGTCGGCCTTTTTTTGAGGTTCAGAATCATGTTGCCTCCCAGTGAAAACGGCAACTTGAGTTATGTAGGCAGTGATGGAAGGTTTACTATGTTTATTTGTTGACAGGAACATTAGCTTTGTACTGAGATAATCAACCAGAGAGGCAGGCCAGTGAGTAGGGTCATGTAACCTAGTTATACCTGCACAAGGGCACTTGGGGGCTTGGGGTGAGTGATTTGTCCGAAGGTGGTTGTTGGCGACCAAATAGGAAATAACAACTGTATACATCTCCAGTTGGTGAAGCAGTGCTCACGAGGCTTATTAAGGCCCAGCAGAGACGTTTCTCCAGGTTAGCCCCTCAAGGATCCTTCTAGCGCTCTCCGCAATGTACTTCCGAGTACATAGAAGTCAGTGACCGTTTGTTGATCACACACGGAGTAAGAGTCTATTACTCCTGCGTGTTGTTAAAGGCTTCGTCTAACTTCACATTTAGAACAGGGGTTCCACAGTTTAGCAGAATACGGAGTGGGTAGGACATGGCTATGACACGTGATTTCTATGTGACATTAAATTACTAAATCTTTCTGAGTCTCTCATCACTCATGGGCAAAATGATGACTCTACCCCCAGTTTCGTGTTATCATAATGAGGATTAAAACAGATAATGTGAAGAGTTAATATGAAAGTGCTTAATATAAGGCTGGGTGCCTAAGAGGTACCCACCAATTTTTAGTACCCCCCCTTCCCTTACCTCTTTCTACAGGAATCGGTCTCTAAGGAGGAAATTGCAGCAATGGTCACCTGTCTGGCAACACAGTTAAAGGCCAGAGTTAACAAATAAAAACACTTCCCATAAGACACGTGGGACTGCCAAACAAAACTCAGCATATAACCATTGGCATTTTTCAAATTGATTTTACCCCTGTGGAGGCACGGCTGCACAACTCA